TATTAATCATTATTAATCCTAATGCTTTTTTAAAGGTTCAGGAAAGAGCTGCTTCACTCGAGTATTGTCCCTGGTGCACTTCAAAAGGCTTGACTTATGCTCTGCGCTCTTACCGCATCAACCTCCAGGAGTCAATCACCCTCTGCACAAACCCACAGGTAAGTCTCAGTACTGCTTTTACACATACACACATCCAACTACACAGCAACCGTGCCTCATGTTGTTTTGTGCTAGCTGTCTTGTTAACCTTTCCGTTTCCATTGCCACGTAGTGCCTTTTCCCTCTGGTCAGCCGGTCCTTGGAGGATGTGTTGGCTAGCTTGGAGCCCGTGGAGTCCACTGTTGGCAACAAAAGAAAAAATGCCTTTGCACTGGAAGAGGAAGAGTTGATTAAACCTGCCCACAAACGTCTGCGATCAAGTGAACTCGACAGTCTTGGGCCACAAAGTACTGACGCACTAATCAGCCAAGGAGAGCATGGGGCTGTAAACGTTGTCAGTAATGGCCAACATGCAGCAACCGGGACAAATGGTGAAAAGGTAAATGGATACCACAGGGATTCAGCTGCAGCTGCAGAGACAGCAGGATGGGAATCGCCACAAAATGAGGATGATGTTCTGGAAAGGGAACCAGAGAATGCTGCTTCTACAGATGGTTTTGCTCCTACTACGTGCTCGGCCTCAGGCGGACACCTGCAGTGCTCATCAGACGCCTTGTCGACCGCTGATGGGGATGATCCTGCGCTCTCTCACTGCAGGGCTCTTGAGATATCAGAGGTAGAGGATGACGTCAGGCAGGCGAAGAGTCCTCCTGAGGCGCTGAGGAGATGCTGTAGTCCGGATTCCAATCGGCCGTTTTCAGCAAACGAGGACGTTTATTCAACTGAAATCAATACTCCATTGCCTCAGCACAATGAGCAGACAGCAATGACGGGGCAGAAGTCACTGGCTGTAGACATCACCACGTGTAAGGACGTAGGAAGCATTAAGTCAGAAACTGCGAATTTGTCCTCTACCGCGATAACAGAGCTAGAGGAACTCGTACCTGTCCCGAATCAGCTTTTCTGGAAGAACAGCGACAACCTGTGTTGGCTGGACTCGGTGCTTGTTGCTTTGGTAAACTGTAGGAGCTTGAGAAAGTGTAAACCTAAAGATGAGCCTCAGCGGCCGTCTGTTTGGCGGCTGATGAGAGAATATGAGGACATTTGTGCTGCCATCCAAGTCCACCAACAGCCTGACAGAGGTAAGTTAAACACGTAATCTGCAGTGTTTCTGTGAGTGTAATGTAATTTAAACAGATTGTTTGAACTGTAGTGTTTTTATCTTGTAATATTGTATCTACAATCAACAGGAAGTTTAATATTTATTTATTTAAACTACTAATGGCACCTAAAGAGCCGAGCCAAATTTAGTTTCTCTCTCTCCGTAACTCGAGTGGTATCTAGCCATGCGTTGGTTTCAGTTGCCTGTTTCAGGGCCCTGTTTTTCGTACGTGGATAACTGACTTAACTTCAAATTTGAATTGCATCTGTTGGTCCTTAAAAGTCCCTAAACCCAAACCTGCATATTTTATCATATATGCTTATTAACAGCTAGCCAGATCGTGACCGTGACGTTTTAGGGTGAACCCATTCCAGTCATTTTCAGAACGATTGCTTTTGCTGGAGGGATGGTGACTTTAGATGAGAAGGTGTTGATTCTTGAGAAACCCTCGCTGTGATTCTAAATTTAGTGTAATATTTATTTATGTAATTTTTTACTCTGAAGAGTTAAAGACTTATAAATACACAACACAATAGAATAGTACCCTAAATGAAAGATATGAACTCAATTAAAACTAGGGGTTTTGTGATTTGAACAGTAAAATGTATGATTTCCACTTGCATTATAAACAGTGTTCACATGGATGGACATGAAAAACAATATATATTTTTTGTAAGTTTATTTATGGGTAAATTGTTTTTTTTATTTATTTTTTTTATTTTTTTAAATATTTTTTTATTTAACCATGCAATCAAATAGCTTAATCTTCACCTCAAACAGACAATTTCAGAGTTATGAGTTAATTTCAGACACATTTGTACCATAGATACCTGCAAGTCAGAGAGTATTATAATAAAAAATTACAGGTCAAAGAGGACAAGGAATACAATTTGATATCTATATTTCATGATGCATACCAAAAAAAAGACAATAAAAAGTCTCTCAAGAATATACGGAAAAATACAAGCCTCTAAAAATCATTCTACGTTATCCATTAAACAAAAATGGGAGAGGGAAAAATGGATTGTGTAAGCACCTTGAATAATATGACATTATACCATGTTGTATGTGTAAAAGAATACTTGATTTTAACTAACACCCATGATGATCTCATGTTCTTTGTACATGTAAATAAATAAATAAATTAAAAAAAAAAAAAGTTAAAAATAGCTTAATCTTGAAACATCACTCTAATGTCCAACTTCATTCACTTATAATGAATTTTATAACTAATGAATTGTGGAGACCAATGTACAACAAAATAACAACAAAACAGGAACACGCATATGGTTGGACTTATGTACATGACTCTATCCTCTAATTCGTCCTGGGAGGCTTCCCGGCACCCCCTACCTTGTTTAACTGCAATCACATGACCAGCACTCAGACAGTCAAATGAATCTCTACTCATTTAGCCGTTGGTTTATTTCCAAATAAGAGCACAGTCCACCACTACTCCAGATAACGTCATCCGGGATCAAGAAAATAATCCTCAAACTGCTTTCATTGAAATATTATTTGAAAAACCGAAATATTACTTACCTGTACTGTATTGGGATGGTGGCTTTATGTTTGACAGGTGGATACATCAAAGCCTCGGTGCATTAAACTGCAACAGTCTGCATTAGTAGATAACACAAGGGTTCACTCAGTTCACTAGTTTTTTTTGTTTGTTTGCAAGAAATGAAAATATTTCTGGACTGGTGCTGACTGTAAATATAGTACTGTACAATAACAAAAAAACTGTACTGACAAGCCAAACGCAGGGGTCACTTCTACAACTACATGTGACATCACATCATCGCTTCATGTTCAGTATTTGCTTTTTAGGACGACAAGGCGTCCGAGAGCTGATAGGCTGACTATTGAGACGCAGTGCTACTCAGTATCCCCGAGTTCACAGCCCAGGACTACAGTACCACACAGGAGAAAGTCACGTATCCTCGCCTCGCTCTGGAAACACCAGCAGTCTTCCAGTAGAAAACGCAGACTGGTTCGCTAATTATGCCAGTTCGCCACAGCTGTGGAATTCGCATTCTGCTACTCGCCAGTGTTTCGGTTTTAACGAGTGACCCCGTTAACTGGCAACGAGTTAACTAACCGGCCTAAAAGTTACTCGGCTGAAAGTCGGCAGTTAACGGAGTCAGAGGCCTAGGAGGCAGGAGGAGGGCGAGTGCAGGTGATTATAACAAACAGGTACTGAGATAAAACATTATCACGCTGTACATCTTACAAAGTCATTTGTAAAAACAACAAAAATGGCAATAATACAGCACACCTGCTGTTCAGGTCAACCTAAATGACAGCAGGGGAGGTTTTTTCACTGGGACAGCCCTAATCCGATTGTCTAAAAGGGATTTTAAATTCATTTACTGGTGAATATTTTCTCATTTCTACAATAAAATGCAATGCTTTTGTGTGCGGTTTACTTATGTGAACTTGTTTCTGTCTAGATGGTGTTTTGAGGGTGCCGAACCGCGTGCTGCAAAAGGCCAGTGCAGATCTACAGAGGCTCCGCATGTCGATCTTCAAACTACTGCAGCCCAAGCTGCACTGCAAACTGGGTAAACTCAGACACTGAAGACACGCCATTCATCAGCCTGAAACTAAAATGAATTTCAGTGGGAGAAACTAGAGATGATTTAGGAGATTGTTAGTTAGTGTCTACTTCCATTGACCCCTTAGTCCCGAGATGCAATTCGAGGCTTTTAAACTGCAGATGTAGGTTTTCACATCCATCAGCAGCATACCAACATCGTACCAGTTCAAACTAGTGGCAGCCAGAAATTAGTGTGACTAAATCTAAGTATTATCAGGAGACCACTGCTCAGAGATGAATTCTAAATGGATATAGAAATGTGCACTTGTCTTATTCCAAATGCATTTCCATTGTACCTGACGAGAAAGGCAAGAAAAGAGAGAAGAAGAATTTGAATTGTCGAGCACTGCATAATCGTTCTTGCCCTTTTTCTCTCAGTTTGGTGTGAAGAGTGGAAAGTAGCAGAGCCTTAGAATACACAGATTAAACAACTGAAAGCCTGATATTAAAATTTGACATCTGATGACCTTAATTACACGAGTCAGTTTCATAAACGTGCCTGGGACAGCATGGGAGAAACACAAACCGACTGTGTCACACAGCTCCAGAGAAGTTGATGAATCTAAAGAAATAAAATATTTCTTTTAAACTGTATTTCTGTAGCCACCAGCACTGAACCAGTGTTAGACCAGGAACAGTATGCAAATTGTGGCAAGCTACTGTGAGCAAGGGAGAGATGTCTGAGCGAATGCTTTTCAAACTCAACAACACAAGGCTTCCAGAGCCCCTCGAGCTTTCTGCGCACAAATATTAGATTTAATATAGCTTAATGCCACTTTTTTTTTGCCAAACAGATTACAATGACAAAAATGGGTATTTAAAGGAGTAGTCTGTCCTGTTATGGCAAAATTCTTCTGCAAAATGTAATCATAGTTAATATACAATGTAGGGCTCTGAAAGATTTTCAAACAGTGCTTGAATGTTTTTCTACCTTGATGTATTATGCTTTTAGATATTTGGCATCTTAGTTGCTGTGTCATGAATCTCTGTTTAGTATCCAAAGCAAGAGTTAATCTTTCAAAGCAGCCATTATCATCCGATAATAACAGACAGCGACGGGTCCGTACATGCAAACCTTGAATTTTGCTCCGCTTGTTGCAGCCAAATCTTTACATTATGTGAAAGTGGGGAAAGTTGCTTAGTTGTTGTCATTCTTTGCATGCTGAAAATGGAGATGGAGGCAGAGATAGTGAGGGGGGGAGGGGGGGCTGAAGAGCCATATTCATTTTCAAGTGAGCTCACGTGAGCTCTAAAATTTAGCCTGTATCTCACCCACAGATTAAATTCTTTAAAATGGCCTGGAAATGGAGAGTGTAACAGCAGCATCTGTCAGCACTCGTACCTGTGATGTTGCTGTAACTGCTGCATTATTGTGCTTTTTCAGGTCAGATGGAAACTCCAGTGTTTTCCCTGCCGCTTCTGCTTAGGATGGACTCTTGGGTGGACCCTCTCTTCCAAACGACCTTTCACTGGGAGTTCCAGTGCAGTGAATGCAAAACTGCCACGAAAGAAAGGTATGTGATGAAACGCATGGTTAAATACCACACGTCGGCCTTGATTTCACAAAAGCGTTTTTGTCTTTTAGAAACTCGCTTTAGAGATTAAAAGAGCAGAAAGTAATTAGGTTGAAGGTAATCATGTTGGAAACAAACACATGACTCACTATAGCAATTGGATGATGTCCCACTCTGCCTCAGGTTATTGAAGACAAGTTAGTATAAATTCCTTGTAATTATTAATTCCTTTCTTTTTTTTTTCTTGAATCTCTTAGCACATTGTCTACATTTATCCACAAGTGACTGCGAATGGTGAATTGTTGATAGATATCTAGTAATGCCTTCAAACTCTCAGTTCATTAAGTTTTGGTAATTAGTGTTGTTTGATGGAGGAGAAAAATCATGTCTAGTAAAGCCTTTTAGGAGCTGCACAGAACTGCAGGAAGAAGCTTTGTCTTTTTTGCTAGTAGGGGATAAATATTCTCTGCAGGGGAACAGTGCATGTTTTAGTAGTATGGTATAAAATGATGCTGCCACAAGTCAATTGTGATTCTACAATGGCTGTACAAACCCAGGTTGCTTTTACACATGTCCCGTTTGGAGCGGTTGTTTTCGAAACCAAACCTCGGTGTGGTTTGTTTGGGCGTATGTGAACACGGCAATTGCACTCGGGTGTGGGACAAAACAGGCAGGCTGAGATCATCTAGAAAGGGTGCATCCACTCTGGTGTGAATCGTTTGTGGTGTGAAAGCAAAACCGACCAACCACAGGATTTTATGGCGTGTGATTTAAGCATGATTTCAAAAGCTAAACTTCTAATGAATCCATCTGTTCCATCTGTTCAGGAAATGATCTTATAATTGATCTGCGTATGTATTTGTTTATGCAAATCAACTGGTAACAATGTATGCACCTGATTCTTTTTTTTTTTTTTTTTTTTTTAAATACTTTTTAAAGCCGTTAACAACCTAAACGTATTTCATGCTGTACTTTTCAGGGTTATGAAGACTCTCCCCACCTTCACAAATATTTTGCCTGATTGGCACCCACTCAACGCTGTTCACTTGGCCCCGTGCAACGTGTGCTACAAGAGCAATCAGAGGAGGACTATGATGCTGGAGAGGTAAGAATCAAGCTCTTAATGTTTCTACCTTAAGTTTAAAAAAGAATAATAATTATATTTAAAGAGGTTTTAGAATGATTAGGCTAATTATTATTATTATAATTATTTACTAATTTGATCAGTGTATTATTAATTAATATTATTGTATATTAGTGGTGTGATTATGTATTAGTCCAAATTTGCTTCAAATCCGACCACAATAAGCAATGACACCTACTCTTTGGAAATCTGTAGCTGTTGAAGCAGGGGAGCGCTAAATTGATTAGTGTGTCAACAACAGATGTCCTTTATAACATACAGTATTAGCTATTGATTATATCGGGGCAAAGTTGCTTTCTTATTGTCTACAGATTATTCACAACAGAGTGATATAATACATTTATTTCCAAGTCCAGCAGAAATCTGCAACAAAAAAAGCTGCGCCGCCACAGTTCCACCACATATTAACTCTGACTGCCTACACATGTGGAGCCAAAGCGCTCTCTGTCTCAATGTGGCTATAACTGACCAGGGCAAATGGAATTGCCAATTAATTATTACCCAACGCTGAAATTGTCTGTAAAATTACAGAATTATCTTTTAAAGTCCACAGTTAAATGTAAACCTCTTACAATGAAACACATATTCTGATCATACTTTATAGTACACTTTTGTGTTTTATAGTATTTAGATTAGGTCCTACTAAGGCTGGGCAGTGTGGCCTATAAATAAAATCATATTTACGATTTTAATCAGGTTTTTTTTAAACTACAAAAGGCACCATATGTTTAATGATGTAAAATACCACCGCATCTGTATTGTCTTATCACTAGGACCCCTTCTTCTCATATGGGATACTATGGGAAAGTAATTCTACACGTTTCGTTTATGTTTCGTGACTTGAGCAGATTGGGGCCCTTTTTGATAAAGTCCTTAACTTTTTTTGCAATTGATTTACTTAATTTATCGCCCACCTGTAAGTCCTCCCCAGGCCTTCCCTTTTCCATCCATCTAACCAGACTCTTGCTTTGTGTTTTGTTTAGAGTACCTCCAGTGTTTGAGCTGCACTTTGTAGAGGGGCTTCCTGACAATGATGTCAGAATCTACACCTTCTCCTTCCAGGGGAAACGCTACTCCGTCACCACTGTCATACAGTACAACCAGCAACTAAAGCACTTTGTCACCTGGATTTGTAATTCTGATGGTATGCATTTTAAGACTGATTCTGCAGTGGTTGCACCTTTTTTCACTGATATGATATGTAAACAATATCTTTACTTTGCTAAAATGTAGGTTGATTAGCTTGCTATAGCACCCTGTTTTGCATACTTCCATTTGTTGCCGTGTTTCTACATGGATAACTGAGGTCAAATGTCAGAACTATTTTTTTTTTTGTCTGTATTAATCCGTAAGCTGCATGTGGTGTAAAACCACATACACTGGAGCTCGTAGTTGAGTCACATGAAGGTTGATATTGTTTTTATTCCTCCACATTGTAGTTTGCCAACAGCACATTCTGCTGGACAATTCATGCAATGTTAAACAACCGAAGACAACAGCCTTTTAGGGCCTGTTTTATTTTCATGTATAAAGAATGTATCTATGGCTTGTCAGCTAAGGTTTTACCAATATTTGATTAAGCTTTCCACATTTTCTGTTATTATTTATTATGTTTTGCAATTGTTATGCTGCTGTCTTGGCAAAGATGCTCCTTTAAAATACATTATTAGTCTCAGTGAGGCAGCTTCTTGGTTGAATAAAGCTGTTTGTATTTTTCATATAAAATTAACGGGTGAGGAATTGGAGGTGATTTTGTCATAACCATGTGTTGTCGTATCTGTTCTTACAGGATCATGGCTGGAATATGATGACTTAAAACATCCAGACTGTAAGACCCATCAAAAGCTTCCGGTCCCTGCGCAGGAGATTCACATTGTCTTCTGGGAAGTGGAGGAGGACAAAGAGCCTCAAGCCCATTCTCCCTCCACCACTTTTGCAGAATCTGCCCCATCTAAAACTGAGACGAACCCCTGTCCGGGAGACAAACACTTAATGGAGGATGAGCTGTTGGCTCGTACTCCGGATCACAGTCTTCTCATGTCTCACAACAACACTGACATCATCTGTGCACTCTCGGCATCTGAAGACAGCAGCAACATCATGGACACAACGGTCACAGCCGGTGTTGATACATCAATAGGTTCCACAACGCTGCTCGACACCTTCGAAGGCCTTACCCATAATGACATAATTACGCTCACACTTGTGGAATTAAAAGCTGATTCAGATATACAGCCCGGAAACGACGACGGACAAACTCAGGATTTAAGTGTTCCAGGCAGGAATGAAATGCTTGACTCTACACCGGATAGCTCCTCCACTCTAATCTGTAGTGAAATGTCTCAAGATCCTGATGTTGAGCCTCCCCTCTCTATCTCCAACTCATCTGAAACTGACGATGGCTCGTCTAGTGATCCTACATTTGTGCCCGGTGGCAGAGGAAGGAGGGGGAGAGGAACTGGCAGACGCCAAACCGCTAGCAGAAAAATAGGTAAAACGGCAGCCTCGTCCAAAGCAGCTCCGCATATTTCACCACCTGCCTCTTCTGAGCCATCCAAAGCAATCAGTAACAAACCTGAGAGTGCTGTTCCTGCTGCTGCTGCTGCTGCTCAGGATAACACACCACAAGTTGAAACGACACAGCAACTTTCCCCCGTTTCTTCTACCGACACGTCACCCCTACCCACTATTCAGAAAACTCCCACAATGCCACTAACGCTAAATCAAAACACTCGCTGGTCCTTCTTGCTCAGCAAACACCCACTGCATCAAATTCACAAGCCGACTGATAAACTCACCCCCGCGCCGGTCACACAAGTAAAGCCCACTCCTGTGTCTCAGTCTACCCCCAACCCTGTGAGAAAACAGCAGATTTCTGTAGGGATCTTCCCTAAACCGCAGCTCAAGACAGAGGAGAACGATGCTCTCCCACTAAAGGCCGCAGAAATGTACGGTGCGTTCGGTGCGAAGAGCCCACTCACCCCGAGTCCGCCACTCCCATCTCCTGCACTCCTCAACGGCAAATCTGTAATTTCCGACCACCAGAAATTATTAACGAGCACTACATTGGTGTCTGGTACAACACTTCATATGCCTGGAACAAAGGGGATCCCCGAAATAACCTCCTCAAAGAAACACATCAGCCAGTCTTCAAAGGTTCCTCCGGGTCTTAGCGAGACTGAAGCCCTTAGGTACAAGCTGATGAAGAAGCTGAAGGCAAAGAGGAAGAAGCTCGCCAAGCTGAATGAAAAGTTAGGTCACCAGGGGAGAGCCAGCCTCCGACCGGACAGCACTGACCTGGGCTCTCCCAACACGGTCACCTCCAGCACCTACGACGGCTCCATCTGCGATGACTTCCTCTCGGACCTGCTCTCCCCGGCAACCACAGCCAGCAACCTTTCACCAGACAGCACCGACTTCCTTGAGATGCTCGCCGGTCGGCAAGATGCAGTCGACCAGCTGGACTGTGGAGCCGCTGGTGCAGTGTCACAGGTGAACACTTGCATGAACGAGCCCAACACAGAGAACTTCCTGGATGACTTCCTCTCGCAGGCTGTGGCTCAGAGACCGACTGACATGGAGACCGAGGCACTCAGTGCACTTGAACTTTTTGTTTAGGCTGTGGTGGTGGATGCTGTCTGCAAGCTCAAGGCACAGATGACATTGACCTTGATTTTGCAATCATGAGGAAATTATGCAAAATTGACGCGTTTACACGGGACAGCTGGTTCCACATGAAGATCTCTTGGTGTATTTATGTTGCTATTAATTAAGATGGGTTAGTTAAGTTGGTATGATAATGCAGACAGCATGTTGAACCATGGATGAAATTTGTAAACTGCATCTTGAACTTTTGTTTTTTGCAACTTTGACACTTTGTAGTGTATATACTGTATGTAACAAATGTGTTTTATGAAGCCATCGCGTTTACAGTCACAGCTGTTTGTTTGCTCTGTTTTATTTTGGGAAATGACTTGAAAATCCTCATAAAAAATGTTTTTCTGTGTAATTTAATAAATACTAGATGACTCTAGTCCGAATGTCTGAATTGTTATATTTAATACAAAGTGTGTGCTGTTTTGCCCAAATCATCTTCCCCTCAACCAGCTTCCTCCATAGGGACATGAAATGTGAATATAAGCATTTTCCATTATTTCTTGTTGGTGTAATTTTCTTTTAATTGAATTATCTCCTTGAACAGAAATGAATGGAGTCATATAAAACACAACTACTGTAGTAGTTTGTTTTGTTTGGCTGTAACCATACCCACATTAATCCATTTGTTTTCATAGATGAGAAAACCATCATACATGTGTCCACGAGCCACCTAGTGGCTTTTCTGTGAAAGTGGCCACCAGTGAGTTCTGTCAAGCTAACCTAATAATTGTTAGTTACATATACAGGTGCATCTCAATAA